AGCAACTTGGGGCAAAACGCACGAGCCAAATGAGCTATGGCACTCAAGTTGCAGAACCTGCCCTATTTTGCCAAAGGAATGTGATTTCTGGCTATGGGATGTTTAGAGGCTCAAGCAATCGTGTTTCTAGATCAAAGGGGTATGAGAAAGGTGTTCAAACTGTTTGTGTAAGTTAACATTGGCTGGTTTTCAAGTTCTCAAGTTTTGACAAGTTTCTTGTTTTTGAAGTAAGAATGTGGATGTGAAGTTACAGGCTATCAAATATGCTTGCATACTTTTCTCTTGTCCCCTCTGATTTGTGGATTTGTTTTGCTGCAAGAGATCTTGGACCAATGCTCAAGGATTGTTGGTTTGACATAAAGCATACTTAAGCAAAAATGGAAATTTGCCTTTTTCTACTTAGGGCCTAATCTTGTGTACAATGCCCAAATGAACAAAATAAAAGCTTAGACTGATGGATTTGCATTTAATTATGGAGTGTGAAGTGGTTTAGAGGCCTGCAAACTAGTGTAAGGCATGCTGACTTGAAAATGCAACTTGTATAAACATGAATATGCCATGGATGAAAAGTGAGTTTTTGCCAACTTCAAGCCTTCGATTCTCCCTAACCACAAATGTGTTTGAGGAGTTCTTGGACAATTTAGAAATCTTGCAACATGATCTATAATCCATCTTTGAAATGCAACTTGAGATTCTAAGTGGAACTATGTGAAAAATGGCCAAGAAGATAGGTCAAAATCCTGCCTAAACTAGGGCAAAAATTCACTAAGTTAAAAGTTTTAGGTACCCTTGTTCCAAAAATCATAACTTGAGATCCAAGCTTCTTTTGAGAAAACTTTGTGAACAAAGTTGTAGACTTTTTGGAGGACTACAACTTTTATGTTGGAGGTTTTGTTTGAATCCATTTGCATCATGGTGAAAATGTGGGGCAAAGTTAGGAAAAATTAAGAAAATTTCATAACTTAGAAAAATTATAAGTTATGAAATTTTTTCAATTTCAAACCCTAATTTGCAATTTTGGATTTCTTGATGAACAAGTTTCATAATTTGACACATCTTGATGAAAAATGACCCTTGGCACTTGATTTTGACCAAAAAGTCAAAGTTTGACTTTTCAGTGTACAATCAAATTTTGATCAGTTGACTGAAAAATTCATCTGCCAATCCAATGCAATTGGGACCTTTTGAACTTGTTGAATAGGTAAAGATGATGTAATTGAGTCCTTGAGTCCATGGTTGAGCCTAATTTGCCATTGGCTAGGTCAAAAAGTCAGAAATTGCCTTTGTACAATTAAAACCCTAAAAATGACCATTTTGCCCTTTTGGTGATCTGATCAACTTTCTTGTGGATTTATGGTCCAAACTTGATCAAATGGTTCATATGAGTTCATAATGCTTATGTGGGTCAAAATTCATGAGGTTTGACTGTAAATTGGCCACAATTGACTTTTTCCCCAATACAACTGATTTCTAGGTCAACTGTCCAATTGACTGGGCAAAAATTTGATTCAAGGCTTGAAACTTGGTATGGACAAACTCATGAGTCCAACATGAAGCATGAAATTCAATTTGAGAATTGAAGGTCCAAAAATCCCTATGCAAACTCAAACCCTAGTTTAGGTCAACAGTGCAAGGAGATGTCTTGAGCAGAGCAAACCCTAGCTTGATCTTGAGTTCCAAGAGCCTTGTGATGAGAAATGTTGATAAAATGAGAGGGCATATTTTGGGGTACAACATGTAGGATGGATGAATCACCCTGGTTCGGCTCCTAATGCAAGTGTGACAATTAATGAAATCAACCAGTTGAGGTCTATTTCGATAACTTTCATGCAAGAAACAAAGTCACAATTTCAAGCTCAAGAGGAGAGCATAAAAAATTTGGAGACCCAAATAGGGAAAATCACTACTACTCTAAGATCATGAGAGTATAAGGAGTCAAAGCCAACTATTATTTAAGAAGAAGACACTCTAAAAGCTGAAATAGAACAACCCATTACTGTCACACAAATTGTCGATTTATCAAATCCAAACATGCAGAAGGAAAAGTCTTTTGTCACGTCACCTGTAGCTGTAGAGACAACATCTGACGTGCAAGAATCTAGAACATCAAGAATTTTTTATCAAGAAATACAACCTCCACCATTACCTCAAAGGATAAGGAAAACCAAGGAAGATCAATTGTTTGGAAAACTTATGTTCATGAAGGATAGAGAACTTGATGGGGAAGGTTTCATATGAAGGCCTCCACCAAAGCCACCCGATACAATTTGGTTTAAAAATTATGAAATGATGGAGATGACCTTTGATACGACAAAACACAATATTCCACTTACCCCACTTCTGAATATTTCATTACAGTTCTCCCTAAAACTAAAGGAACAAAAGTTGAAATCAAAGAATGTTGTTGTCCAGAAGGCGACCTATGTCATGCCTCCCGAGGTTGAAAAAAGTTGGATGAAGGAAGTAGAAGAAGTTTGAAAGAAGATAGAAAAGTCCCAAAAATCTAGAATGAGGAAAACCAGTAGGCTTATAGCCTAACATGTATTTCTCAATTAACCTATCAACCATTTCATGATTAATTTTAGTTTTATGTTCTTAGTTACTGTCTTATTCTTTCGTGCCATAACCTATCAGGCTAACAGTGAGGAAACTATCCTTACTTTAAGTTTGGGGAAAACCAAACCAATAATCATCATTATTATTATCTTAGTTTTTGTTTTTGTTAAAGTTATTTGCATGTTATTTCTGTCATGTAATGTTATTTCCTTTAATGAATGAAGTATTATCTGTTGTGTTTGTTTTTAATTGGTTTTTATGTTATTTTATTTGTTATAAAAAACATACAAAATAAAAATAGATAAATAAACTGACTGTAACCTCCATAAGACTGACAACTTTAGTAAAACTTAGGAAAATTTGTTAGGACTATACAATATTGGAAACAAGATCTTGATGCTAATTAATTACACCTTATTGTGTGTCTGATAACCCTTGTTACGCCTTAAGTAGTCTGAAAAGTAGACAACCTCTTGATAAATTTGAATTGTTTTTGAATATGGAATATGAATTCACTATAGGGTTTAGTTAGGGAGGACAACACTACTGTTTAAGATTTCAGTACTCTGGACATACTGCATATGAAAATAAACACACCAAAGTGTGTAAATGAAGTAAGGCAAAGAGCACTTCATAATAAGTTCTTGTGCCCAAAATTAGAGGAACATGCTCTTGTGCCCGAAACTATAGGAGAAAAAGTTTTTAATAAGTTACTATACCAGAAAATGGAGGAACAATAGTTGTTCTCACCATTAGTAACAAGTTGTACTAATTACAAGTGAGATCCCGTCAGGTGAAAAGGTGGAGAATATATAAATTTTCTTTTTAATAAATGTATGTGTGTTCCTAGGTACAAAGGTCTGAAAATAGATAGTCTAAACCACCTGCTGAAACTAAAAACTGAGTTTTTTTCTGGACCATAGAACAAAACAACCAAAGTTAAAATTAGGATGGCTAACTTGACTGAAGAGTTCTGGTGTGATCGGGTGCATCAGAGATATAAAGAGCACTCACACAATTATGATATAGCTTCAGGTTTAGTTGTGCCAATTTTTAAAACAAGTCCGTTGAGATAATTTCTGAGTTGTTAATGAGGTTGGTGATGTTAAAAAGGGTGATCACATCACCCGAGGATAGATAATGATTCAAGTTTAGGGGTGTGTTAACCCATATTTTGTGAGTTAATACATACTTTAATCTTTTTTATTAATTAGTAATTAAATTGTTTTTTAATTGTTATTTTACTGCATTTTAGTTATTTTTATAAGAATTAGCTTGGAGCAAAATAGGTGCTCTATTTTGTAGTTTTGATGTGTTTTTGCTTAATTTAAGGTTAATTCTATCAAGCGGAGGCAAGACTATTGTGGTATATAACGAGGAGCACCAACTGAGGCAAGAGCTGAACTTAACTAAGGGGAAATAATAATGAAGTCAGTTGGTTTCTAGGGAAAACTTGGAAGAATGGAAGCATTGGAGGGAATATTTATTGTGCTTAGAGTAAAATTCATTTGAATAAAAAAGGATAAGGTTTGGAGGCACTATAAGACAAAACTCTAAAAAGTTGTTTTCGGTCTATTGCTACTGCTCTTGTACTGCTACTGCTGCTGCAATTCTACCTCAGTGTCATGTTGTCTCCCATGTGCATTGTACTATCATAGTACAATACAAAGGAATATGTTTTTTTTCTTTGGGCTTAAGTTAATGGATCACTGTAAATGCCTAAGAATCAAAGAGTGACAATATGCAGCTGAGAAAACTTTATAAATAAAGTCGCAATGTAATGAAGAAAAATATTCTGAAACTTGGAAAATTCTGCAGAAGTGCAATGTAATGAAGAATAAATTGCAAGCGATTGAAGTGTCATCCTTAAGTTTATCATATCTATATTCTTTCTTAGGAATGTGTAACTTAAGATCTCTGTGTTGTGCTTATTTTACTCATTATGAGCTAAACTTGTTTTGTTGGATAATGTGAAGTTTAATGAATTAGTAATCTTTTGTATGTTTGAATGAGTTACCTTGTTATATTTTGTTCATGTGAATTTATGCTATATGTTTATTTCTTTGTCTGGCCAGCTTAGAAGTAGATAACATCTTGTTAATATTAAGAGATATTTAACAAGTGGATTTCATGACAAATATAGTTGAAAATAGTAGGATAGTGATATTCAATAGATTATAGACTTTAGAGATAAAGAGCTACACTCATAGGGGAAATTAGAAATGAACCCAGACAAGCACCAAGGTTACAAGCGAGACTTACAGATTTGTCCCTTGTCTTTTGTAATACCCCAAATTTGTCCTAACCTTTTACTTCCTATCTGGCTTACGCATTTTTGCATTTTTCTCACATATATAATTTCCATTAGGTCATCTAACACATCATGCATCATTAATCGATAAATTGGAATAAGATCATGGATTTCGAGGAATAAGGGTTGGTGTATGGCTTTAAGGCTCCCATCTTCGCACAAGCTTGTTTCGGTTGATTTCTCCATTAATAATTTGTTTGAATCTAGGTTTTCATTTCATGGACCTTATCATCATCAAGCTACAAGGCTATTCTTTTCTTCTCAATGTCAAGTTGCAAGGTTTTATGAGACGAAGCTAAAAATCAGGGTTTATACATTTTCATACTTGAGCTTGTCAGCATTCTACCTGAGGTTCATTCCATATCAAGGTATTCGCATGTCTCATCTTTCATATTCATCTGCAAAGAATCCCTCAGGGCATAGTCATTATCATCTATTGAGAAGGGGTCCAAGACGTCGTTATTCTAGTGCTCATATAGTCGGGACATGGTACAAGATGTTGATTGTGATCAAGGTGTCATTATTTCAAATGCTTGTTGCTTGACACACAAGTTTGGTTTATACTGAGGAATTGAATTGAATTAGGGATTCATTGAAGTTGTAATTTGATCGAAACTCGTTCATTAAGATTTGAAGAGGATTTGGAGTGAATAAAAGTTCTTAAATATTTGTGTGGGATTTCTTAGAATAAAAAGGCATGTATCAAACTCATTTGTTTCATCCAACAATCAAAGTGTCATCCAAACATTCATTCAAGAACTCATTAAAGATTCAAGTCTCTTCGTGATTACCTTGCAAAAATATTTTGGATCCATACCATGATTATTTGAATTCATACAAAAGCCATTTCATTATATGGAAATAAAGTCAACATACATTCCAATGTGTATTCAAATACATACAAGTCCAAATTCCATTACAATTATACATAACATCTATACATTTTTACCAAAACCTATCCTAATTTTCAATCATTCTTCATGTTTCAAACTTCAAGCTTCCAAAACTTCGTGTTTTGCGTCTTTTGTTCCAACTTCATATCATCTCCAAACTCATTCAAATCCTCACTTGGTGTTTTCCTTTTGCCTTTGCTTCCCAATAGCCCTGATATGAACCAAACCTGCAAAAATATTGGATAAACTGTCATAAGTATGAACCGCTTACACTACCGCTAGTACACAAACTTGCAACGTCAAGCCAATATCAAACTAATTTCAAAAAAATCCAAACATATTCCATTTATAAGCCACAGCCCGACATTTGACAGAAAAGTGAGTCCATAGAGCATACAAAACCGAATCTCTAAAACAACAGACCATTTCGCCACATCCAATTAATTGAGAACGAAATTAAATCAGGAAATCAGAAGAAAAATGACAGAAGGAATAAATCAGAAAATGGCTGGAATTTAAAAATCAGCAGAAGAAAGTTTGTCAGAAAAATCAGGGGGAAACTGTGGAAAATAGATTTACAGTTCAGCATAGCAAATTCACATAACAGAAATTCAAAAGCAAAACTAATATAACTAACTGTCAAAACCATATCCATAACCAATTCATAACAAACTCTCAAACCTTCTAACCACTTCTAACAGCATAACTAACTCATCCCTAACATACTAAACAGTCCAAACAAACCCCTAACTAATTTTCCCAATAAACTCTACAGAAAATATATAAATAGAGTTCACAGCATATGCAAAAGGAGATTGACAGAATAGGGAGATATACGATTCAACACAGAAAAAAGAGATGATTACCTTTCATTCTCACTTCCTCTATTCACACTTCTTCAATATCTGCAAAAGAATCCCCATTTGCATTCTCTCTCTCTCTGAAAACTCTGCACCTTCATCATCCTCCTTTGAGCTAATCAATTCTCATTCGTTTCAAAGCTTCCCAACATCACTTCTAATTCAACTACCAATTTCTCCATATAGCGATTTCTTCTGCAAATTGTTCATCAACCTTCAAATATCTTCATCAACGAATCTGCAACCTTAACTGTCTTCAGGCCTCTTCCTTATCAATCTATGCAACGCACCTAGATTGAGGATTATCGTGACCGATTCCCAACTTCAACAACAATGAAGATGCAACAGTAATTAGCAACATAACCGTATTGAAACGGAGACAAGAAGAGTGGAGAGAGACTGAAGATTCATACCTAGAAGTCAATCTCTGGATTTCTGTTTGTTGACGCTGCCAAGATGGCATCAGACTTTCTCCGGTCGGTGAGTTCCGATCTTCGGTATTCTTTCGCTTCTTCCATCTATTTCTTCATGTTATGGCATAGCTCAAGCATATCGGAGTTGGATCCCCAAGGTCCTGAGTTTTGATTGGACACGAGGAGGATGTGATTCAGCTTTTAGGTTTTTATATCTTCAAAGCTTATGATTCAAAGAGGAGATGAACAATGAAATTGCGAGTGGAGGAGAGAGTCTGATGAAATGGAGAAGATTGAGAATGACGAAGAGAAGTTTCAGCCACCGCGGTTGCAAGTTCGAGAAGACGAAGAGAACTTTGTTCTCGTGAGAAGCTGGACAATCACAAAATGCAACACTAATCTTCACGTATCCCTTTTCTAATTTTGTTTTTGTTGATTATGCTTGTTTTATTATTCAAACGCAAACAAATAATGAATTGTGGAGGATCTGGTGGGTTGAGATAATGGCCTGGGCCGAATGATACTCCTCCATAGGCCCATGGCTATATTTTTTGGAAGTTGTTTTTTGCTGAAGTTATACAAAAAAAGGGGCTTATTGGACATTACAGGATGGGCCTAGCACCTAATATTAGTCAGATACCCTGATTTCAATATTACACCCCTGTCCTCATAATCTTTAAGATTTTATTTTTTGCATATAATTTTGTCTATTTCTTTTTTTATGATAAAATTCTAAAATCCATAAAAACTTGTTAGTTTTTTTTGATTTAGGAATTAATTCTTGTTTGTTTGTTAGAATTTTCTCCATATAAAAAATAATGATAAAAAAGTGGTAGAATATTTTAGAACTTTTTAGAATTTCTTTTTAGAATTTCGATTAGAATTTTTTACTATTTTATTTTTCATATTTGGTAATCATTTTTATTGCCATTTTTTAGTCAAGATTTTTGTGATAGCATCGACATAACTCTTGCAATGTGGAATGCTCGGGGTTAATTCTTCAATCACTCGTTCGAGGAAACTTTGGTAGAATTTTCTTATCACTTGCGTGGCGTCGAAGAGGCAACAGACCTTCTCCGTTCGGTATCGTCACAAATCTATTTTATTCTTCATTTTCGTACTTTATCGCAATCCATATGCATGCTAACATTAGGTAGAATTCCCTCAAAATTCTAAACTTTAGGTCTAACAATACATAATAACATCAGGTTTAGAAATAGGCTAGTCCCCATTTGACTTTTCTTTCTCCCTTTTTGCATACGCACCTAAAACTGAAACTTCTTTTTTTTTTCTTTTCGAAATTCAAAACACTTTAAAACTACTGATGAGAATCACGCTTTTGCTCAGTACGGGAAATGATAAGCGGGTCTCTTCTCGATCTTATTGTTCTTCATCTCAAGCATAGGTGTGGTTCAATTCTCAAAGACTCCTTTCATGACTAAGTAGAAAAATGGCTAATATCTCTCTCTTGAGGTCGACTAGTCATTATCTGCAACAAAATACAAAACAAATTCAAACCATTTTGTGCGCTCGAGCACCATTTCTCTAAGAAACCCTTTTCAGGCAAGGACATGATTAGTTTACTTTTGTGCCAACGCATAAGTCTCCAAAGGTCGAGCTGCGGCAGAAGGCGGAATTAACTTCGTCCACAAAAAACATCTACAACAAAATATAAACCAATTCAAATCTTTTGTGCGCTCGAGCACCTTTTCTTTAAAACCCTTTTCAGGTAAGGACACGATTAGTTTACTTCTGTGCCAACGCATAAGTCTCCAAAGGTCGAGTTGCGGCAGAAGGCGGAATTAACTTCATCCACAAAAAACATCTACAACAAAATATAAACCAATTCAAATCTTTTGTGCGCTCGAGCACCTTTCTTAAAAAACCCTTTTCAAGTAAGGACACGATTAATTTACTTCTGTGCCAACGCATAAGTCTCCAAAGGTCGAGCTGCGGCAGAAGGCAGAATTAACTTCGTCCATAAAAAACACAAACAAACAAAAACATATGAGCCGAACTACGGTAGCTCTGATTCCTCAAAACGGATACGTAGGCATTGGGGTAGGGCCCAAGCGAGCACAATTTTATTTTCCCTACATTCTTTTCTCCTTTATTTTGCATGCATTCCCTTCAGTAGTATAATAAACAGTAAGCGTAGATTAGACACACCCATAAGATAGATAAAAAGAGTGGATACCGTAGAGTACTATGGGCGTGTGGGGTGCTAATACCTTTCCCTCGCGTAACAGACTCCCTTACCCGATCTCTCGGTCGCAAGACCGTGACTTCTCCCTTCTCAGGTTTTCTCGATGTTTACCTTTCCCTACATGTGGGATAAAAGACGTTCGATGGCGACTTCATTGTTTGATGATTTTTAACCAGTTGTTTCAGCTGGCGACTTCACTGCGGAATAGGTCGACCAAATGCTGGTCCATCCCGGAGTCGCTCCTAGCTCTTATTTTTTTTCTTTGGGTGTTTATTTTTACATGCTTTCAGTTTATTCACTCATTCTTGAGCATACATATGCATTGCATTTTACTGTCTTCCATATACCATTGTTGTACTGGATTTGCTTCTTGTTTGGGTTGGGATACTACTATTGAGGTAAAAGGCCCAGTACCCAGGCCAGAGTGCACTAGGACACCTAGGAATAGAGTGGGGGCATGACGACTATAGGATGTGGTCCGATTAGTGCAGTCATGTCATATACCACGCTCAGATGAGGTTCAAATGAATTACTATCGGCACCCACGTCTGTGGGTAAGCCCATAACACTTTCAGGCAAACCCGTGATTTTCGAGTTACCATTATCTTACCCTGACCTAGTTTTCACCTGTGAGTGGGGAGGGAATTTCTATCACAGGTACAGATGGTGACTATGTGCAGATGGTTACTCACATTCAAATGATGATTATGCTCAGACAATGACTACTGGTTCTGATGGCTATATTCTGGATTTCTGTTATGACTTTATGCAGGTACTATACTTTGTTGATGATCGTATGGTTCTCAGATTTATTTTCTGAGTTCCTGACTTGTTTACCTGGAGGTTCATTCAAGCCTTCAATCTTGGTATTCCCAGCATATTCAGAAAATTCTCAACAGTATCCGATGTTCCAGAAGCCTTGGTCCCATACAATGGGAGATCTACAAGGTACTTGGTTCTTATATATGCAGAAGTTGTTCCAAACCTTTGATCTGATGATACTCACATGATTCATAGCAGTGCAGCAATCATATTCAGGAATGATGAAACCTTGATCCTCTTTGATCTCATGCCTTTGCATACATAACATGGCTAACCACATGCGTAACATACATGTTCTATTATTTCCAAGGAATCACATTTGCAAGTCTTGTGCTAAACTCTTCCATCCC